CTCTCTCTCTCTCTCTCTCTCTCTCTCTCTCTCTCTCTCTCTCTCAACTCTCTTCAGATCCATTGCCTCCATCCAGATTGAAACTTTCTACAGAAGACCCTTATGTTTTACTGCTTCTTTCATCCCTTTGCTGTTAGTGTCCTTTGTCTTCTCGTCTTCCAGCCACACCTCTACTGTAGGATCAGCCCGAGTCTTGTACTTAGAGCAATCAGAATGTATCACCAGTGCTCAGGTTCTGCTCTCTAACATCCCATAGTATGAATGCACTGTGGACCCCACAGTGTGAAACTGTATGACTTTATCTGGAAAATGCAATGTGATCAGGAAGAACATTTGCCATCGTGAGGTAGACACTCTTAAAAGGTAGCATATACTGAGCTGAGTTTTCTTCTCCTTGCCACGGCAAGAGTACAAAAGCTGGAACCTCCATCATCAAGAGGACAGTGCGGAAGACCTACTGATGGGTGTGTGACACAGCTGTGATGCTGCCAAATGTCACTCAAACTACTGATATCCTTTTTATTACAGAAGCATAACTTAACCCAGCAAGATGCTGAAATTGTCCGTGTACATCTCCCCTGTGTGTCCTTCTTATCATTTTACTTCTGTCTCAACATCCAAATGCATTGCCATTATCTCACTTCCTGTCTGCCTTTCCAGCTGTGCAAAAACTCCATAGCTATGTGGCTCGTCCATAAGTCCTTTCTGCCTCCCACAGTGCGTGGCATAGCATATCCCTTCAGAGGACACATCCTGAAAGAATGAGTATAAGGTGCCCTTGTCATGGTGAACACAACTTGGCAGTAGCACTGGCGCCCTTGAAGTTCTGCCCAACCCACTATGGTGACTAGGGGTCCACTCACAGTTGTGGCAGGTGGCACCGGTGTAACCTGTGTCACTGCAGTTGCAGTAGAAGGTCATCCAAGACTGGGAGCAGCTTCCTCCATGTTCACAATAGTTTGGTAAACACCTAGTTGGAGATAAAGCAAAGCAAAATAAACCAAATCAGTTGAAATAAGGAGAAAGGCAAAGATATTTTATGCCCAAGTGTATGAACCCATAATAGAAATCGGTCTGCTATATTTATGTGCTTCAGTCACAGCTACCTGAGATGAAAATGACCCTATGATTTAGCCACAACAGGTGGATTCCCTGGCAGCACGGGGTGATGGACGTCTCAGACCTGGCAGGCACCTGAGTTAAGGGCCACAATGCTGCAGCAAGCGCACGTGGAAATTCAAGTTCAAATGAAGTGGTCAGAATCCCGTAGGTTTTTCATTTATCGTAGAAGTATGTAAAGATTATAATTTTATATTTTGGAAAATTTTGGACTGTGTGAAAGAAAGAGGGAGAGACAGATGAGTGAAGTTACTCTCTACATGTTTGTATCTGGGAAAGGAGGAGGAAGCCAACTTAAACTACACAGCCTGAAACATGAAAAAAAGATGGCAGTCTACGTAGCGTGGGGGACTGTTTCTCCATTTGTTTACAGTGACGCTGGTGGGTGGCACAGGTCTAATACATCAGCTACTCGAGAGGCTTAGGATTCCGGATTATCTGGGACAATCTAAGGAGACAAAATTCTAAAATAAGATATACTAGGGGCTGGTCATGTGGTCGAAATCTTGCTTAACATGCCCAAGTTCCCGGGTTTAGTCCTAAGTATAAAAGTAAGTGCCAATACCAATCTCAAAGATAGCCTTTACCACGTATGTCTTTCGCAGAAACTATTTTCATAACATGTATCAAAAATTCTTTAACATTTCTGTAATTTGAGCCTGCAATCATTCTTAGATGGTGCAATCTTATGGATATTGTTCAAAATTTGAAGACTGCTTATACTAATTCCGGAAAGGCCAAACACAAAACTATTCCATGGGAAACATTACAAAATTAATGAATTCTGATGAGCTGGTACATATAATGTGCATAAAAATCATGATAAAAGATCAGGACATGATTAAGTAAAAATGCAACATATAATCGTGACTATAAAATGGAAAGCAAGAACTTAATAAATTTCAGAAAGAGTGAGATAGAAATATATTAGAAGTTACTTAAGCTACTGGAAATGCGAGCAAAGTTCATTTCTGCTGTGTAAACCGTGGAGTTTCCAGGCAGCATGTCAACTCACACCTAGCTGAGCAGCTCCCTGCATGGTAACTGGCACCTCGTGTGTACCTGGGTCAACATTGCCACAGCCCTTCCCCTTCCAGGGGACCTGGCAAGTTTTCAACTGGTATAACGAATAAAATTAAGGGAAAAGCAATGATAACAAGTGGAACTTTGGAAAACAATCTTTACATTGAGTCTGAGAGTGCAAAGGCAAAACAATTTACAAACTTAAATAGGTAGAGGATGCAAATAATGTTTCATTCAGCAAAGTGGGAAACCACAAGAAATAGGTTCATTGTGGAGCCACTGAGAATCCAAGGCCAGCAAACCTAAAATGATGTGCTCTAAATGTTCTCCATAGGAAGGAAACCCTTTAGCAATGTCTGCTTCAAATCCCAGACAGTAATATTCCCACGTATGTTCAGACTTGTTATTAGAAATTTTCTGCTCAGCACAGCAATCATGCACTTATGGTGACAGGGCTTGTATTTGGAGAAAGCTTGATGATAGCTTCATGGGGCCTAACTGTGGCTTAAAGAACAGGGGCATAAAAAAAGAACCTAAGAATTTTGCTATGGGATGCACTCACCAAAACCAGACAAACAAGAAAGCAAAGAAAAAGTGGTTCTCTCCTTTCTCCAAATCCCACAGCTCTTCTGGATGGCCACCAATGCTCCTCAGTGTCTCGGTGGACAGAAAAGGGAGCAGGCTTGGCATTAACATGGCCGGAGTCCTTGCCCTCCACTGATGCTGTGCTGTGTGGGAGGCTGGATCATCCTGGCCTGTTGTTTCTCAACACCGTTCAGCTAAGGGCTCTCCTCGGAATCTGGCCTGCAGGAACCTTGTGGAGCGATCCTAGTTCATCTGCACCCGTGCACCATTTACCTAGCAGGTTACCTTTCACCTTGTTTCTTGTCCTCTAAGGAGACCAAATTCTTCTGTGACCTTTCTACGTTACCTTGCATTACATTCTATGCTCTCCAAACGCACCTAAGGAATCCATAATTAGAAAATAATCATTCTTGCCCACCTCTGGCAATGAAACATTTATTGCTTTAAGAATGGAAAGCTAAGCAAAAGGAGAGAGACTCTGTCCTGCAGTTCTTGCATTTTGGATACAGGAAAATTCAGGGTACTATCTATTTATTGGTGGATATTAGAAAATGAAAAATTCAGAAGTTTTCAGTGGCCCTGGTTTTAGTCATCCTCAAAAAGTCAAAAAGAAAATTGCTGATTTGCCACTCACAAAGAAAGGTGAAGTGGAGAGAGTCAGTGGGGCAGTATTTGCTTGTTTGATCTCTGTTGTATTTGAGACGATCTGGTTACAGCCCTACATCTCCTGACAGCTGGCTGTTCTCACCTTTATTGGATTCTGTGAAATAAACCAATACTTTTTCCAGAAAAATCCCAATTTTATCCAGCATGGCTAAAGTTGTAACTTTGCTACTTTCAACTAATAGAACTGTAACTTTTTGTAAGATGGCATCTCACCATTACAAAATAAATAAAAATATACTTTTTTTCCTATAGCATACACAACAAAATACCTTAAAACTCAAGGCTACCAAGTCTATGTGTGCACGCAGGAGGATTCTTGGAGGAAGCTATCAGAAACACTAGGCATTTTGACACAACTTTAATAAGCCTCGGACGGACCTGATATCACAGATAATAAAGTCAATTCACCACTGAAAATCTAGGCTAGAAATTCATTTGTTAATTGAAAAGAACCGATGATATGTTTCTGGAAGGAAAAAAGAGTAAATGGGTTAGGGGAAATCTAATAGTCTTAGAATGGAAAAGAAATGAATGACTGCTTGTAGCACTGCTTGGATCTTGGTTCATTTTGGTTCAAGGTGCACCATGATTAGGAAAACCCATCTGTACGGCAGACATTCAAACGAAGAGATGCATAAGCCCAATGTGTTCACTTAAAAGGGGCAGTTTTACAAGTATAATTTCCAGATTCTTTCATCAGTTCATTTTAAGTGTTGGATTGTTTTTTTGGTTTCTTTTCTCTCTCCAAGTGGTAAAAACTGTGCACTAAAAGAAGAACCCACAGAGGCAATGGCTTAGAGCTCCTAAGGGGAGAGAAATCCTTAAATGGGAGGATAGTCATCATCTGAACACATAAGGCCTTTAATTCCAATTGCTAGGCAGTTATCACTCCGAACACCTATCTGCCGCAATCCTAATGATGTGCAGATGCAGCTGGCTGTGGATAGATGTGACTTCCTTTGGTTCGTGGTGTTGCCCACGAGTGTAACAGCTTTCTTCATGCTCCCCAGGAGCCCAGAGAAGCCGACACAGCGATCTGTTCAGCAAAGACTTGAGGAACATGGCAGGCCCACTGCCATCTGTTTTGCCTTTGTGTGAAAGCAGAGTACATGACCTTAAGAGAGATGACAAGAAACATTGAAAAAGAAGGCAGAGAGGGTAGAAACGGAAGGGGGAAAACCAACGATGTCACAAGGGTAGCAGTTGCTGTCATATGAGTATGGACAATTTTCCTTCAAATTCCGACTTCTTCTAAAGGAAGAGGATCGTTGTTATGTGGCGCTGTGGACAACGCAGGTAATCGGTGAGGTGGGCAGATTTATGCAGACACAACGCAGACAGACAAGGTGCTAGTTCAAGCCAGCCAGGGCTTATCACAGGCTGGTCCACTTGGAAAACTGTAAGCAAGAATTTCAGAGAACTGAAACAGAGTCCAGCTTCAGTATCCCGGGGAGCCACTTGACACAGTACAGTTCTGTTCCATTGGCATTAGGAAGAGACAAGGGACCCCGCATCCTCCTGGAGAAAGATCAGGGTGGTCGTTTTCCTCTGTTTGCTGAAACTTAGCTTTACCTGGTGCCAAGCAGAAGTTAAGAGTGGGCAAAGCTTGGGAAAAGCCTTGCAAAAGCAGCCAGATTCAAGTTAGTTTGCCGAAATGAATTCTGCTCGCTTTGAATGTGGAAAGCTTCACAGCAGAAATACATTTTCTTCAATAAAAATCAGATTACTAAGTAACAAAGTAACTTTCATCACTTCACATATGCAACTTCGAAATACGCATTTTGAGTTCAGTCCTCACCCTTGAATTACAGACTCATGTTTCTGGTGTCTGATGCATAGGGCCACCTGTGTGTCCAACATCTGTGCATCCAAAATTGACTTTTCAATCTCTTGGCTGGCCATGGCTGCAACCTGCTGTGCTTTCAGAGTTGATGACAACACCATCCTTGCCAAGGTCCACACCCCAAACTTGAGGTTCTTCCTCTGCTCTCAAAGCCCACGTAGGAGACGTGAGCAAGTACTGTGGAGTGTGCCTTTAGAACCTGTCCTGAATCTGAGAGTCTGCCTCTACGTCTCCTAATACTGCTTGCTAGGAGCCACCAACAGCTCCTTCCTGAACAGCTAGACTGTCAGATAACCGGCCCTCCAGCTTCTACCCTGCATCCCTTTACTTAGCACCTACTCAAAAGAGAGAGGAAGCATTTTCACACCTGAGGAAAATCCCACTAAAAATCTCTGCAATGGCACATTCATGTATTCAGGGTAAAAGCATACAACCTTGGCACAAGGAAGGGGGCCTAAGAGATGAGGGAAAACGAATTCAAATGTGTTACATACCTATACCAACTCCCCACACGGGAAGTAATCATTAAGCATGGCAAACATGTAACAAATTTTCAAAAGGCAACAACCTCCAAACAACCAGCCCAAGAGATGGGCACCACCATTTAAAAGTCTGAACTCATCCTTGCTCTTCTCACTTTTCTAAATCTGATCCTACCTCTTTCTTGTTGCCCAAAACCTACAAGAGGTGTTTTCTTAAGAAGGAGTTTGCATCGCTGTTTGTTCTGCCTTGAA